ACATGTACGTAAAAGTGCTTCAAATACCATCTCCTGCAATCCACATTTTCAAAATGTTCTGGGGGAGGACCCCCATAGCCCCGCCTGTTTTCACCCCCTCCTTGGAGTCCCGAACAGTTACATATACTTACATATCTTGGGAGCAGAGAACAACAAACAAAAATATCGCCTTTTTGCAAGCGCCCAAAACAAAGATTGCGGGAGCGTAGTGTGTGGAGAGGGAGGCGGAGGAACCATTAAAATATTAAGTATATTCACTATTTTGCGCAGTTTGCTGTTTTTGCCCCCCCCCTGTTAAAAAATCCTGGCTACGCCACTGGTGTTAATGTGGAGACGAGAATTGTTACTGCGTCATAGCGGAGATGATGCAACGCGGTAAAGGGGTGGCAACAGCTGCTGATGACTCAGAGTCACCTGTCCAAACATGTTTCACCCGGCCAGCGGAATTATATGGAATCAATACGGCATGCGAGCTGCTCATTGGTTATAACGAGCGGTGCCGTATGGCAGAAGGTGATAGATATATAAGGGAGAGAAAAGAAGGTTCGAGGAGAGAGAGAGAGGGGAGTCGGGTGGGACACTGGCTACCCAACCCACGCATGTAAGCTGCAGCACCTATGTATTCCAATAAAGACGTCTAAATCTTATATAACATACACAACCTCTTTGACCATCATTGTCTACGATTACCGACCGACGAGTTGGAGTAACATACAGAATACCAGGGCTACATTAACATGTTTCCTCATAAAACTAGCATACTTGAAATGGTTCAATCCTAGTTTGCAACCTAGGGATGTGCTCACAGTGTTAGCCAGAGACCCTTCTACCCGTCTTAGACAGCCTATTCTTGGATGAGATGGATGAAGTTTGATAGAGACGGCATGAGGGTGGCCCAATTTTACCCCTGCATGAAAATAAAATAGTCGGTTTTTCCCCCTTGGGCGCTTCGCGCCCGCAGCATCCTCGCTTCGCTCCGATGGTGAGACGCCCTGTTTTTTTTCTGGCTAACACCCTGGCCCACAGTGGGCGGTAGCGCCCACCACTATATCCCAGCACTCATGCTTCAGCCCACAACTGTCATGAAAACCACTGCCACTCCTTCGCTGGTACTAAATTCACCAAACAGTAGCGTAACCTACTACTTATAGTTAGTCAAATCAATTTCAAGCTCCAGTAATGTCAGAGGAGCTGCTAGGTAGAGTTTTGCGTTCGTTATCAGGGGTAGAAATTGATTTGAAAACTTACAGGCCATCCGGGCCTGTAGGTAAGGGACTTTACAGGCCCTCCAGGCAAACTACAGGCCCTGCGGGGGCACTCACCCCACATTATGGTAGGTATGTGCCACTGCCAAGTCAAAAATTGGGGGCTCTGGAACTAACTCAGACCTGAAAATGAGGGTCTCTGGAACTAATGTTTGTTGAATGTGGGATGCCTCGTTTGAATGTTGACCCGGCCTCAACGTATTCTGAAGTACGATGCACTGGAACGGAAATGTTAAAAACTAGAGTCTCCGGAACGGCAAAAATGTAAGATCTGCATGGTAACTAAACTTGTGATGCTCTGGAACGAGATATTCTTAAAAATGCGATGCACTGGAACGGAAGTTTAGGGTTGAAAATGGGGGTCTTTCCTGCAGCACATACCTACCATGCAATATATATGGAGTGCCCCCCCCCCCAGGGTTACAGGACCGCATCATTCCCCGGATACCGCAGCATTTTTTTTAAAATAAGACTGAAATTTGAAATTTTTACAATGGTTTATTTACAGTAATACAAAGAACATATTCAGTGACTACTACTACTAGTGAGGGATACTGTGGTGAATTTTCATCCTCGCTGGCATTCCGGGGACAGATTTGCATACTGGGGTGGATTTTCTACGGGCCTGCCGGGCTTGCTAGTATTAGAAATGTCAGGCCCGAGCCTTAAAATACGGGCATCGGGCCCGCGGGCCCCCTTAGGGTTTCGACCCATGGTTATTCTTCCCAGTCCCAGGCAGCCCCATGCATAGATCTATGCTGTCACACATTATTAAAGAATATCATGACCGTGATACCTCCAGGCACGCCAGTCAGACGTGCATTGGCCGGCACCCAGAAACGTTACATAAATCCAGCCGATGGCGCACGATTGAGTGAATCTACGCATAGCGTGATTCCCCTCGGCCTTCGTAATCATTTATCTGAAGCCATCCTCTTCATCGTCGCATGCCCGCTCGCGGCATTTGGTTTTACATAGTAACTGTCACCCCCACATTTAGTGTAGTGTGCACACTCGTTACAGCTAGCTATAACACCACTTATAGTCTCCAATCAAAACATTGAGAACTAGACAGAGGGCACTCACGGAGAGTGCATACCTCCGCCAGCATGTAACATGTATGTGTTACGAGCTGGCTCGCCGCTCGCTGCTGGCTGCTGCTGACTGACTCGCCGCTCGCTGGTGGCGGCTGCTGACTCGTCGCTCGCTGGTGGTTGCTGCTGACTCACTCGCCTGCTGCTGACTCGCCGCTCGCTGACTCGACGCGCTATCGATCGAGCCGCGCGGACTGGACACACACACACACACACACAAGACCGATTACATTACCTCCGCTCCACTCCGTGGCGGAGGTAACCAGTCTGTGCCCTGTCTAAAATGCATGACCACCACCAGCAGCTACGTACTGTAATGAATGTGTACATGTAAACCCTCGATCAGTACGTGCACCATAAATTACAACTTCAACTGGTTATTAACGTCTACTGATAATTCCCAACTGGACGAAACAAACACGCTCGTATGTCGCTTACTTCGAACAGGAAAATCTCTCTATATATATATATATATATATATGTATGTGATAGCATGTTCTTATAAAATTAGAAATGTTGTTGTTGCTGCCGCTACTGCTGTTGTGGTTGTTCTTGTTCTTGTTCTCATTAGTAATGGTAGTGGTAGTGGTAGTGGTAGAGGCGATGTTGATGATATTATAGTGTGCCTCTCAAGTTTTATATTTGCCAAGAGAAAGTGTGATACGGTTTGAATATTCGTGTGTTTCCATTTCATTTTTTTAGGTTTCGTTCGAGTTGACTGAATACACGGCCAATGTCGTTGCAGTTGGAACTCTGCGGCTGCTGGATGCTATCCGCACATGCAAGCTGGACAAGCAGGTATATTTTTTAATTACATTTAGAAGTGATCAGTGCACTGTAAAAATGTGACTTCAGGCCAAAAAGTCAAGAGGTTCAAGCTCCACCATGATCACTGCTGGTGTGCCCTCGAGTAAAGGCATTTATTCCAATTTCCTTCAGGGGACACCTGCTGTCGAAGAAATTGTTTATCTTGCTGTCATGAAGCTGACAACCTCACCCATACAATGGTGGGTTGCTTTGCCGTACAAAGCATGTTACGGAAACCAACTCAACACAGTTGCAGAGCTGCTATGCTCCATGGGAGTCAAAGAGAAAACGAAAATATAAAGAAATAAAACTTATTGTATACAGTAGAAGTTCAAAAATCGGGATGCTAGAAATCCGGACTTTTCGAAAACTAAAACTGAATAATTCATTTGTATAAAATAACTTCCACTTTCATTTGTTTACAGCATTT